GCTGCTACTGCTGCTGCTACTGCTAGAATTATACTACGACGAGGACAAGCAGAGAGCTCGTGGCAGGTGAAGGCTCTTTGGGAGGGCAAGGACCCGGCGGAGTCGGAGCTCATCGACCTCGGCGATGCCAGAGACCTAGGGCTTTGGGTTTAAGCCTGTGTAGAAGGGTTTGGGGCCAGTTTGGGGTTTTGGGTATGAGGTTTAAAGTCTGGTTTCAAAAAAGGGGGTTAAGGTTTGAGGTTCAGGCTTGATGGTTTCAAAGTTTACTACTTCGTAGTAGGCTCGGTAATTCTTGTGCCTCATGAGGTGCTGCAATAGGCTCTAGACTCTATATCGATTCTCTAAGAGTATATGGGTTCTGAGTAGTAGAGTCGGTAACTTTTAACTTTAGCCGTCTTGGATCCTATATAGATAGTCCCAAAGCTCAACCTTTTCTTCCTTCAGGATACTGGACAGGTAGGCCAAATATGGATGGGGTCTGGTAAGTAGTGTTTAAAGGTTCCTGTACGTGCTCTTTAGAAAAAGGGCATATAAACCGTAGCGTAGAAGCCCAGTGCCCAGTACCTTGCAGTCCCTACATGGACATAGTATAGGGTGCGAAGGAGACGGGGCAGTTTTTGCAGGAACAGTAACCACAAGACATCGGTGCGCAGGGCAGATTTTAGGATCAGCTGCGATCTGAGCGGGCTCCAGATGCACGTTTTTGCCCTGAGGTTTACAAGGCGGACACCGGCAAAGACTTGCAGCTTTGCTGCACCGTAAGAACATGCCAGCTATCGCTTGGGAACCCTACACCTAAAGCCTCATGAAAACCCTCTAAGCCCTTATTTCTTGCTTATGCTCTGGAGCTCAGGGATGCAGATGAATGAGTACTTCAGCTGCTTGCACAAGGTCCATCGCTTGCAGCTTGATGGGTCAACGGAGGGAGTGCTGTTGGAACGGCTCACCCAGGGTTTATGGTTTCGGGTTTAGGCTTCCTTGTTTACTGCAACTAGGGGAGTTATTCTGGCGACTTGAAAGTAAAGTCCGTGAGAAGAACCCAGTTCTGCTTGAAGCACCCTGCATTTTGAGGCATGCCCGCCGTCCGCAGTCTGCGAATGCGGCTTTGATACAGCTGCCAAGAGTTTGTGCGTAATATGGAAGCCTGAACAGGTACCACGATTAGCTGGTAGCTGTACTTACTACAGAATAACCCCCCATACCCTATTCCAGCCGGCCGTCTGGCACGCACCGGAGATGTCTCCCTCCATATCTCAGGCTAGCCAAATCTCTGGTGCTTTTAAAGAAGAAGTGCGCAGGTGCCTTTAGTCGAGGGGCTCTTCTTGCCCAGCCTCTTGTGTTCATATGTACTCATATGTCATATTATGAGTACTACCAAAAGCATTCTGCCGTGAATCCAAGAATCAGGGGAGGCTTTGCACGGAGCGATGCATCGCCGACGCAGAGACAAAGCTGTAAAGCAGAATTCCTTATGTCTCCATCCAATGATCATCACGACTTCGACCAAACTACTTGAAATACGACTCGCTCATTGTGACTGGCGCCTTTGTCTGTTTGTTTGTTGCACACTTCTAGGATTGTTGCTGATGTTGCATGGGCTGGCTGGCACTGTCCGAGCTTGAATCGTTCAGGACAGCCAATGGTGCCTTAGGCTCAGATTTTCCATGTTACCAGCCGAAGGCTACCACATACTCCAGTCACTCATTCGAAAAAAGCAAGTACACCGTTCGAATGCGCTTCCTCAGTTGCTTTGCGAAAGTCATTGCCGCTGTCGCGTCAACTGTGCTGTGGCAATGGCTGTGCTGGGTGCGCTGGCATACTAGTCAATTTCAATAGCCCAACGTCGGCAATTACAGCCTCACACTTCCAACTTCCAACCGGCAGTCCGTCATGCATGACAGTCAAAGTGTTGCGGTACCGGACTGGAGACCATGTAAGCTGAAAAGACTGCTTTGAGCCGATGGGGGGGGACAGCAGCGTCCGCACGGCCCCCGGTGCAGATTTGGTGTTGACCAGTTGACCGTGCAGATGGTTTGTTGCGCAGAAGCCACGTGGCTGTGGCCAAGCATCGTCGCTGTGATCGTCGGATTGCTGACAGCTCGGAAGTGGACAGCATGATTGTGCAAGGCAAAGATGCATGAGAAACCATGCTGTCGCTGCACTACTCCGTAGCATCCCACGATAGGATTTCCTGCCACACTCGAGGCTTTTGATACAGCTTCTCTGGAAAGGACCCGCGCCCAAAAAGGCCTTTGCCCAGAAGTTGGGGGAGCGAGCGGCCGGTGGTCTGGATCATTTTGCACTTGACGCAGGTTGAGAAGACCGTTCCGAGCGAGCCTGGTAGCAGAAGGCAAGAGGAGCCAGGCACGCCACAAGCTTTGCTAATGTAGGGGGTTGAATAATTACCAATTCTATTTGCGGATTCCTTACTACAAATATAGTATAAGGGCCCCCCAAAAAAACCCTATTCCAATCATTAAGGCCCCTACATTATACTGTCCCGGACATCTTGAAAACCGACAGGTCTGGAGCGAGAGGCTCCGGCGAAGCACTCAGCAGGGCGCTGCTGCGCTTTCCTCGTCAGCCCTAAACCCCTAAACTAACCCTTAGCATCAAAATAGCCCAAAACCCTTACATAATAGGGTCTTTGGGCCCAAAAGCCTTAACATATGAGTCCTTGGAGGGTAAGGGTAAAGCTAAACCCCATACCCCTAAGCCCCTAAACCGACGTACCAGGACCCTCGCCTAGGCATGACCGAGGGCGAGTGCTGAAACCCTAACCCTCTCTAGTTGAAGCTGTGCTTCCGTTTGCATGGCGAGGCTGCGGAACCTGCGCCAGCGAGGCCGGAGTGTTCCCGTTACTGGGTTGCTGCTTTAGGAACTTAGGTATATAAGTTGGAATAGTGTATTGGGGATACATCATAAACAATACCATAAGACTTTGGTGGGGGTACATAGTAAATAATAGGTTTCCTTATTGTTATTATTATTATTATTAGAGTGACATATAGTTTTTACAGTCCTGAACAGCAACCCAGATTACCTTCTGGAGCCTTGTCGCCTCGAATCTTCCGGCAGGACAAGGCAGGTTCAGAAGCCTTCGCCAGGCCGGGCCTTTTCCATGCTACGGCTGATGACAAAAATCCTGCGTTACCCCATATAATAAGGAATATACCATAATTCCCATAGTTTAGGGTCCTTAAGGTCATGCAGGACTTATATCATCATCAACAGTACCCCAGACTTTCTTAGCCATACTGTACTGCACCGTACGAATACTCGATGTACATGAATATACTATTCTGTTCTGTAGCATGTCCCCACGCCTGTTATCGGTGCCACGCCAGGCCCCCCGCTCACCACTCATGACCAGCTCCGCTGGCTGCAGATTCTGGCCGTGCGGAACTGTGCAAATGCGGTGCCGAGGACTTGGTTGCCCAAGGAGCTGAACACACTGACCTTGGTGAGGGATTCGCAAAAGGATCAATGTATGGCTTACTTAGGGAGTATTGGGCTCTAGGTACCTGATTGACGGCAGCAGTGGCGGAGGCATTCCGGCATTTGGACTAATCAGGTGCTGAAGTTGCCTTTGTGCCATGCGGAAGGTCATAAGCTTACCGGCTTGGTCGTGGGGGCTGCGGCCGGCTGCGGTAGGCGTTATTTCCTGAAGCAGGGTTTTCAATTGTTAGGGTGTAACAAACGGTTCTGAATCATCAGAGACAGCCTTATGTATATAGTAATCTGAAACTGATAAGAGTATACCCAGCAGCCCTGTGCTGATGCTTCAGGCCCTGAATATTGGGCACCTAGGAAGCATCAGCCCCATTTTGTGGCGCCTGAGGCTGAGCCAAGATCCTGCAGGTGATCCTGACCGGCTCAGGCGCCAGATCTGGCAGTACCTTGACGTGCGAAGCCGAGATCGCCCTGCCACGTTGCGTTGAAACTTTTCGCGCGCACACACAAGCATACATATACGCGTCTATCCATGTGTGCATATATACATGTCTACACAGATGTTTGTATGTATGTTTGTTTGTTGTTGCTTAGTTAGTCACAGCCATGTTGCCCACACCTATGTTCTGTATGTAGGTATGTATGGACGAATAAGCCAGCTAGACGACCGACCTACCTCCTGCCCTGCCTACCGACCAAACCACCCACCGACATACTGTACCTACCTGCCTGCTTGCCTGCCTGCCTGCCTACCTACTTACCTACCTACCTAACCTACCTAACCNNCCTAACCTACCCTACCCTACCCTACCCTACCCTACCCTACCCTACCCTACCCTACCCTACCCTACCCTACCCTACCTACCTACCTACCTACCTACCTACCTACCTACCTGCGAACATACATACATGCCCCCACGCACACATGCCTGCATGCGTATGTGAAAACAGTTGTGTACATATATATATATATGTGTGTGTAATATATGTATATATATATATATGTATGTATGTACGTATGTACGTACGTATGTATGTATGTATGCATATGTATACGGCTGATGATCTAAATCCTGCTTTACTCATTATAAGGACTATACCATAATTCCCATAGTTTAGAGTCCGTAAGGTATTGCAGGATTTATATCTTCAACAGTATGTAAAGGTAAATGTATATGTATTTGTATATGTTTGTGTGTATGTATATATATACACACACATAGACATATACATATACATACATGTCTATGTGCATGTATATGCATATGTGGGCGTATGTGTATGCGTATGCGTATACATATGTCTATATAAATATATATATATACATGTATATATATAGAGAGAGAGAGAGAGAGCGAGACTTATATATATATATGTGTGTGTGTGTGTGTGCGTGTTTATTTATACATTTGTCATATGTATGAATGGATGGACAGATAGATAGGTTCACATATAGACAGATAGATAGATATATAGATAGATGATAGATAGGTAGGTAGGTAGGTAGGTAGGTAGGTAGGTAGATAGGTAAGTAGATATTCATTAGTTTGACTGGGTATAAATCGCTGGTGCAATATTACTAACAGTACTATTGTTATCAGTATCAGCATTCGTTTGAGGATTGCCACTGCTGCTGCTGTACTACTTCACGTTAGCATGATAATGATCGCGTTTATTGTTAGTACTACTTAACTATTAGCCTAATAATGCTCGTGTTTATTGTTTAGTACGCTTATTCCAACTATCCTTCATCTTTAGTGCTGTTTTGTTGTGGTGAGCATTAGTGTTGCTATGGCATACCTTCAATTTGTCATTATACCTTCAGGTGTATGGGTTTACTATGACATATTATGACTGTTATTGTCTCTTACGTTGGTTTCAGTGCTTCAACCATGACACGCAAACCAGTTCTCGAGAAGCGCTAGGGGCTTAGGGTTTAGGACTGATCTAGGGGGTTTATAGGACGGATTTAGGGTTTGGGATGACGCCACAGCTGTTCTTGATGCCGGCTCGCCGCTCAAGAGAAGATGTATGTAACCATGCACGAAGCAGCCAGACATCGCTTCTCGATAGAATCCTATTCTTCCAACTTTCCTGAAAAGAGCCTGTTGCCGTCAGTCAGAGTTTGACGGCTTCCACAACCCCGGCCCCAGCACTTTTGCATGATCACGCCAAACAAGAGGTATCCGAGCTGTTTCAGTGCGCAATTGCTTCCACAAAGACAAATGGCTATGGCTACATGGCCTCAGTATACATCCACGAACTCCATGAACTGCTGTGTGTGTGAATGGCGGTGCGTGTAGTGGCTGCGCTGACCGCCTCGTGGTGATGATGACTAGATTGCGGCACTCACCGCCAGAATGAATCGCAAGGATTCCGCGTGGTTCCGGCTGTTTGCTCAAGATGTCGGCGCAGCTAGGGGGAAGGGACCGCTATTCAGCACATGGCAGACAAGCCGGTATTTTGCACTGCGGCGTGCTGCCGGTGTTTTCTTTTTTGCCTACTACACATGCAGTTGTTGTTGGGTTGTTCTTCTCAAGTCCTTCGTCCACACACATATCTGCTATTGTCTTCATGCTGGCTATGAGGCAGTTGAGCGATGACTGCTTTTCTGTATAAGAGCTGAATCCTGCTATGCAGGAGCTGCTGAAGGAGCTCGATGCGCTGCAGGACAGGTACAAAATCCAGCAGAAGCATCTTGCAAGGGGTTGGCGCACCGGGGAGGGGTCCTACTGTTCACATCCGCTTGGCAGCTTCCGGAAACTGGTGAACACGTGAAACCCTAGGGCTCTAGTTGCCTAAGAGTGGGTTACTAACCATATATTATGTACCCCAGTAACCTACTATTTAGGTAACTGGAGCCTTAGGGAAAGTTAAGGTATGGCCGTTCTGTCCTGCCGGACTCCAGCGTGCCCATTGGGCCAGCGGCTCTCCGCGCTGCCGAGGACAGCGATACATTTTAACCAAAATTGGGGCGACGAGCCTGAGAAATTGCATATATAATAAATTGCATCATAGGGTATTTTGCAGATGCCTTCGCTCTGCTTCTAGCGACGAGGACGCACTGTCCAAAGGCGTCGCGCTGGAGGGCTGGGTGAGACGGGACGGGGGGTATGAGACGTACATTCAACTCCGGCGACACGCAAGGGGAGGCTATCGAGTCGGGATCACGGCTAGGAGCCAGAGGCTGAATGGGGATTTAACCCTCAGCGACTACTTCTGCACCCTCTCAGCTCTCTGAACCCTGACACCCTAGACAGCTCATCGGAGTGCGTCCTTGGTTTTGTCATCTCTCGGCTACCCCCCCGAAAGGTGATCACAGGTAGTTGAGATTCTGCCGACTTTGGTGTGTGGGGAGACTGCACCCGTTAGCTAGGGATTTATAAGTTACCTAAACCCTAAAGGGAAAAAACCGTGTATTTATTTTTGTTGGTGAATTGTCTCCCCTTGTTGATCCGTTGTCTCACCTCGATTGGATTGTCCGAGTCTGTCAGCCGACACCCGGAGCATCCCAGCAGACCCTGCAAGTTCCCACTGTTTCGAGTTTCGACTTTCCTTATAGGGCTTAGGGCTTTTTGCAGATTTCAAGGTCTGCTCTAAGCCCTCATTAGGTTCCCGGCAGAGGCTCTTGCAGGCTGGATGCAAAAGGGTTTGAAGGTGTTAATGACTCGGACAAGCCGGGCCAGGAGCTCATGGGATGTTGATGACCGACTAATCTCGACTATTCAACTCTACTCTACGACACACTTAGTCCTGTGTTTTTTATATGCCAAAATCTCCAAACCTTCTCTACACAAGGGACACAAGCCTCGGGTCAATGCATCTGGGCGATGTGGTCCAGGAACGCCTGGCCGCCCGCCTGCCGCCTTCTCGTGCAGAACGAGCCTTGGAGGAGATCGCCCACGGCCAAGCCCTGTGGAAGAAGTTCAAGGACATCAACCCCCAAACCTTCAAAACACAGGGCAGCTTCATCCGCGAACCCGTTTCATGCCGAACCCAAGTACAGTAGCCGCCAATCACGGGTTTGGCCTTTGTTTTTGCCCGGTGCACCGATCTGGGAGAGTCTATAAGACCAATCACTAGGAGGCAACATCCGTTTCCGGCTCCTTGAAATGAATATATATATATAGATATAGATATATCGATATCGTTGCAGGCAGATCTCGAGTGAGTTCCGGCTCAAGACCGTGTCTCTGGCAGTTATACAGGACCCACCCTCGCGCGATTAGGAATCGCGTGCTCGTGCTGCCATGACAGTGGTTGAGGACTGCGCACTTGCCCCTACAGGACCCTCAACACTTCTAGTAGCAGCCCTTATAGCACCTTTTTTCTAGAATAGAGCATAAAGAGCCCTTAATGTTGACCTAGTACTAAGTTAGCACCCCTATCGTATACCGCTCTATTACAGTAGCGCTTGCCGAACCCTTTATGTTGTCGTAACCTGCAAAGGAAAGCGTACTTACTCTTTAAAGCAGCCAATACACCCCACACCCTAAACCCTAAACCCTAAACCCCACACCCTAAACCCTTCCGGCATGACATGGGATCCGTGCCTGCTGCGCGCGAGTGCGCGAGTCGAAGCCGTAAAAGCAGCCCCTCAACCCTAAACCATAAAAGTAGCCCCTAAAGTCCTGCTAGGTGGGAGGCGAAAAGTAGCCCCTAAACCCTAAACCCTATAAAAAATACCCTCAAGCCCTGAACCCTAAAAGTAGCCCTCAAAAGGGATCCTTTCCAGGCCCCCTGGAGCAATTCATCTCCCGGGAAGTCCGGCCTTCCCACGTCCGCCGGGCTGCCTTCGCGCATCTGGGCTACTGAGCTAGGGTTTTGGGCTTAGGGGTTTAGGGTTTAGGTTTCGAGGCAAGCCCGTTGCAAAATGGGTTCAAGTTTCGCCTCGCACACTCGGACAATAGGTTTTGGAGGGTGTGCCGTGGAATAGCGCGTAGGCAGTTGTATCTTGTCGCGTGCATCGTGCCATGGCGATGAGCTGTCAGAGCCTGTCTATAGGAGGCGTTTCCTTCTTTCTCTCCCACCCCTCGCCGTCTAAGTCTAAGGCGGCCAAACCACCCAACCTTCTGTTTATGGGCTTCAGGCCGAAACTGCCAGTTCTTCCTTCCAAACAACAGGCTGAGCAGGGCAGTGCGCAGGGCAGGGCATGGGCAAGGCATGGGGCAGGGCAGAGGCCGGCAGGGCAGGGCAAGTCCTGCACCAGGAGTTTTTAGTCGACGCGCCTTAGAAGGACGCGGTTTTCCTAGCTGGGGTGTACAGCCTCCTTGCACTTAATGGATGAACCGAGCCTTTGCGAAGTTGGTTTTCGGGTTCATGCCATTCGGGTTGCTGCACGGGTTGTATGAGGGTTACTTTAAGGGCTGGTTAAAAAAAAAACATCCTCTTAAACGGCCTATCTTTTAGGCTGAAGCTATACGGTTTGCTACATAGCTGCTACAAGGGTTAAATGCGCCATAAGGAGAGTTTAGAGAGGCCTTGTGCAAAAAAAGGCAAGGAATGGATGTGGTCTACAGCAAATCTTGGTCGAGTCTTACAGTCTTACAGTAGCATAGCAAGGGAACCCTAACAAGCATTACCATGTATACCCATTTTTGGAACTAGAATATTAGAAGTCAAGTTCTTTAATGTGGGAACCTGATTGAGAAACCCTGGCCCTATATGTCCCCAAAATATTAGGATCCACATGAAGAACCCAGATAAAGACCCAAGGGCTTTTAATCAGGTTAAGATGTTATCAAGAGCCAAGGTACGTTTGCACGCAGGTTGGTGCCGGCCTTCTCGCCCTGGGACCTGCGGTGGGCCATGCCGGCTGGGTGGGCATCCCTGTCATCATGCTTTGCGCCTGCTGCGCGGCATACACCTCCTACCTCTTCGGCTGGATCATGTTTCAAGTGGAGGAACTCTTTCGCCACAGCAAAGCGCCAAGTTATGAAGACATTGGTTACCAGGCCATCGGTGGCTTCGGTCGCCTGCTGACTCAGACTTTGCAATGGCTAATGTTGATTGGCGTTTGCACCATCTTCCTGGTTCTCATCGGCGTCAATGCCTGGCAGCTGCAGCAGATCTTCGGCGTCACCTGGCTGTCAAAGCGAAGTGTCATCCTGGTGTCTGCAGCCATCGAGCTCGTTTTCTGTTTCGTCGTTGCCACGGTGAAGGAAACTTTCTGGCTCACGGCTCTTGGCGCACTTTGCTCGGCAATTTGTGCAGGCGTAGTCGTGGTGTCAGCCTTTACCACCGACAGCTCCAAGCTGGCTGGTTGCTTGGATGACCAGACCACAAATACTTGGCCAATGTTCACAGACTTTCAAGGGCTCATCCTTTGCTGGAACACCGTCGTCTTCGCCTTCGGAGGGATCAACGTGCTCCCCAGCCTGTTGGCCGATTTCCACACCCGCGGAGTGCTTTCA